ATACGTAAAAAGTCATTAAGTCACACTAACTAACAAATTTTCCAGAATGTTTAACAATATAATTCCCGATTTTTAGATAAACAAATTTAGATAAACAGAACTTTTGAAGATATTTCAAGTTTCAGCTGTCTTCAATTTTCTTAACTTTTATTTAATTAGTTTAAAGTCATAATTGATAATTATTATATACTGCATATGTAAGTCATAGTACAATTACACATTACAAAATTATTTGCTGAATTATATAGGAGCTATTAAATTTTTCACTTATGTGCTTAAAAATTAATATTTCCTTTTAATTCTTTTCTATTTTAGAAATTTTAACATTATTTGTTTTTATGAATAATATATTTTTCCAAATTTATTTGTTAACTGTAGAAAAAATTACAGTGTCAACCATTATACACATTTATATAATGATAAATTATAAATTATATATTTATAATAGCATTAACAATATGTATAAAATTCAAATACAATAATGTAATTAAAGTCATACTTCAAATATGACATGATCGGTTTGTCTTGTAATTAGCATTTGGAAATGAACATTTATTAAAGAAATGAAGTAATTGCTGATTAATAAATAATAAATTCTATAATATTCGTTCACACAGTAAATTATATTAAACAACGCTTAAACAAATATTGTTTTCGCATCATGTAATTGTGTTTGAAGAACTTCATGTAATTAAAATTAACATTGGAAAACAGTTATTCTTTTTTGTTACATATAGAACATTTTTTTAAATTAAATTCACTCATTGAAATGTACATAAAAAACATGTACATAAAACATCTCATTTTTTACCTCAACAGTACAATATCGTCCACAAAATTGTATAAAAAAATTCTAGACTAAATACGCATCCATTAGAGATTTTTTAACAATGTATATTCATGAATAATATATGTTCTTAAAAGGTTTTTTGTTTTAGAAATTTAAAAAATGTATATTCTTATAAATTATTCATTTTTAACAGTCTATATTCAAATATTTTTTGTACTATATCTTATTCAACTTTAACTAAGTTTTCAAAGAGTTTTATTATCTAATAGTAGCTGACTATTCTCTTTTAACTTTAAGTAATTTGCAGCAGTTTTACATAAAGTCATTATTTAATTAAATGCTATTTACGTAGATGTAACTTCCACATGTGCACATATTTTCATTAAGTTGTAATTTTAGAAAAAATATTGAAAAAAATTGTATTAAGATATTTATATTTGTTTTTGTAAGAATGTATTCTTAATGTTTTTGTATTATTTCATGGATGCTGGTATGAGAACAACACAATTTTTACATATATTGTGTTATCTATTTTATATTGCAAAATTAAATTTCTATTTCTTCCACATTATCATGAGCAATTAAGATATTTTGAGTTAAATTATTAAATATTTTGTATTAGTAATTTTTTTTGGTTTCTATAATAATATTTTTTTGCACAACTTAGTATAACACCTCCCACATTCTAACTGGTTTTCCGATTGTTATATAATAACGTAAAAAAATATATGTGATCCACGTTTTGTTGACAAAGTTAAAAAATAAATAAAACAAAGTATGATCAATTAATAAATTGTGACGAACTGGCGGCGTGTGGAACCTTAAATTATATTTAATAGATTTGAATTCAGTCAGTTTATTATTTAATCATTTTATTATTAACCACCCTGTACTTTTAAATACTACCGCCAGACTAGATCCATTTTAATCAACTTTCTGTTTTTTATTTTCAGTGTAAGGTAATGCATGAATAATTGATATTTATGGGCCGAGTTTTATTATGCGGAGTGCTCTTTACTTCGTAATTCTCGCAAAAGGTGTCCGAACATACATACACACCTGTGAAATAGACAGACACACACACACACATATATATATATATATATATATATATATATATATATACATATATCCACATTCACTTACAAAACTGACCGACTAAAACCTATTTTAAAACGAGTATGGTTGTGGTTGTCGAATTAATTACTGGCGGTATATATGGAAAAGCTTTCACATGCAAAAGTAAATTATTTCTCCTCAAAATGAAATGGATTTAATGAGGGAGTCTTTGAGTTTTTTTATTCTGCACATTTTTATACCATCTACACCGGCAGTTACTCATATTTCGTAATTTTAGAATATTTGAAGTGGAAGATAATTTTTAATTTATCTACTAATGAAATAATGTGCTCCGAATGCAAAATAATGAGCGAATTTTTTTTTGTGGTAATACCTTTTTGAAGTCATATTTGATGTTAGTTCCATTATATATAGTAGTGTAAGCGGTGCATAAAGGTCCGGGGGTAAAAAGGTCCACCACCAATTTTTCAAAAACAAGTTAAGATGATACTTTAACAATAATATTTGAAAGAAGAGTTAACTAGCTGTAAGTGGAATTCTGTCTTAAGGCAATTAGGGCATCGTGCCTTAAGGCAAATTGCTGGAACTTCCCGTACCAAAAATTATTTTTTTTTTAAAACGATTAACATTTTTGAAAAAAAATTACTTTGAAAAAATAAGATTTTTGAGAAACTATAAATTGGACAAAAAATTAGTTTTTTTTTGAAAAAAAAAATTTTTTAAAAAAAAATTTTTTTTTTAAAAAAATTTGTTTTTTTTGAAAAAAAATTTTTTTTTCTTTATTTTGACATATTGTGGAAGATCTGAACTTTTTTTTCAAAGCAATCGTACTGCTTTAACTACATAGGGACAAAATATAAAGCGCGTAAGCGCCGCGTCGCTGTCTAACGCATAAGCATTGGTACGGAACCGATAGGAATGTTAACAAAATGTATACTTATTGTTAAAATCTCTATAAAATGTCTGATAATTTGATGTGCATATGTCTAATGATCATTTTTGACCGCCAAATGGCTCATTTTTTTACTTTTTCCTCTATATCTCCGAAACTTCATGAAAGTTGTATCGATTCTTCATCTTGTCAATACAAATAAAATGTTTTTTGAATTATTAAAATCGGACGCTCCGTTCTCTTAAAAACTGAGTTACCGTTTTCGGAACTTTTTGCCCCGTATCTTCTGAACGGCCTGACCTGCCTTTGCCAAAAACTAATCAGCACGTCTCCTTATCAATACGGATCGAATGTTTTTTAAATTATTCAAATCGGTTGATCCGTGTTCCCGAAATCGTCGACGAAAATTTGTATCCGCACATACATACACACACATACATACATACACACACACACACACACATACATCCATTTTTTCTAAGGTATGCCAAAATGTTCAGAAACCTCTGAAACGTAAAGATATATAAAAATTTACATTTTCGATTTTTTTGCGATTACTATAACTTGCCCTACGGGAAGTTAAAAAGATGTATAACCAGCCATAACCTTGATTTTTACAAGATAAACGGTAATGTTTGAAAATCCTTAACAAATGTATTTTCTTTTGTTGTTAGTTTTTGTGGTCGTGAGCACTGTTGTTTAGTTTACGAGACTTTCATATAATTTTTGAGTATACATTATTCATTAATTAAGAGTTTAATTCAACCTCTATAAAAGCCTACACCTAGGTGGATTAAAAAAATCTTCCAGAGGTAATGAAAAATAGTAAATAATAAAATTAAGTAAAAAAGCATTTCTGCAAGAGATAATTCATATAAATTGTTATTCCAACTCTGCTGATAAATATTTCTGACAAAATACAAGATCAATGTTACGTACAATGTGATCTCTGTAAAAAATGCATTCATGAAATTCATATTTTGCATTGGTGGAATAATAAAGCTGTCATTTCGTAAAATTCTTTCAAAATTAAAAATAAGACATTCAACCTGTTTTCCTTGGTCGTCAAATTTTCCCCGTCTACAAGGTAAAAAGTACCAGGTGAAAAAATATTTCTAAATAAAAACAGCTAAAAAATATTTCTAAATAAAAACAGCTAAAAAAAATATTTCTAAATAAAAACAGCTAAAAAAATATTTCTAAATAAAAACAGCTAAAAAATTTTTTCTAAAATGCTGAATTAGCTTAGAGTATTACTGAATATAGTCAAATAGCTGTTTGTTTGGTGTATGTTATTTGTTGTGATATAATTGATTTGTTTATCACAATATAATTGCTAAAAGTCAAATTGGACCTTTGTACCCCGTCCTACTCCATATAATTTTCTTATTTGTGACATTAGATACTCAAAAAATGAACTAGATTTTATCTAGATATATATAATGAAAATATATTAATATCGCACTATTATTACAACATTAGGCAATAAATTACATATCTCTATCCCTATATTATGAAAATATATAATTTATCAGATATATAAAATCGAAATTGAAATGACAGATATATATTATTCCCATTATGATGTCGTTAGTATTCATGAATATCAATTGATTTAAATTTTATTACGAATTATTGTACAATGGAGATTAAATGAAATTACAATATCGATTATAAATTTCGAAACATTCTATTGTTGCCAACATGTAATAAAATTAAATTTTAAACGAGGATAAATTAATGTCAGAATCAACTTTTGATTGTGCTAGAACCTTATGCAATTGCAAATTAGAAATAATAATTATTGCATACATTTTACTATGAAATATTAATTGTAATTATTCTTGTTTTCAGACAACTTTGGAGAAAATGGTTCGACAATCAAATATCAATTATGTGAACTGAGTAATTTTTCTATTAATTTTATAAAAAAAAACAGTGTTTTACAATTATGAATTAAAAATTTGTATAATAATTTTCTTATAAATTGGATTGACCAGGGTAAATAATTTGTAAACATTAAGTTATTTATATCGTAAATTGGTAAATAAATTTTAAAGTTACAGATTTTTATAAACAAACGAGAGAAAAGAAATTAATATAAAAGTGCATAATTAACAAAGTGAGTGCAAACATTCCACGTGTGATTCTATTTTTGAGGCAGCGGTGGTAAACATTTTATTCAAAATTATTACCACACTTCGTGAATTTTCCCTTTCCTCTCTCATGCCTATCCCGAGCCCCGGAATGTTCTCCAAACTGAGATCCGGGGGTGGTCAACCCTCAAACCCAGCGGACGCCAACCCTATCGCTCAATACTTCGAAATCGGAAAGATGGTGGCGAGTGCAGGGCCGGAGTTGATATGGCACATACACGACGCTTATAGGAAAAGTGATGGAAAGGTTAGTAAAGAAAAGAAATTAAATTGAATTATTTTCTTTGTTATGTTAATAATTGGTTTTGTAGCTATTTATATCATAAATATTAAAAATTAAATAAAATCTACAAATATGATATAAACATATTCACAAAAGAGTTATATGTTTAATAAAAATATTTTCAGTAGCGTTTTATCCTATGACTTAAGATATTCCTTCTGAGCAAACTTTTTTTTCAAATTTGATACAGTTCAACAATACAACAAATACCAGAATTCTTTCTAATTTTTTGCCATTTTTGACCTACTCGACCTGTGAAATTCAACTCAGTTGTTTTTAAACATCTTTTATCAAAATTTTAAATTCCTGCTATTTTTTGCATTGGTCCTTGATAATCTTAATTTTTTTCACCTTGGTACTTACTGACACTTCGAGCACCAGGCAGTTAATCTACCAATCCCCAATTTATACTCCTTGGATATTCTCCAAGGTGATCCAACACAATTTGTTGAATTTTGTTTAAGCAAGAGGTCAATTTAGATCCTATTTAGAACTAAGGTTGTCTTGTTTAATCAACAACCTCATATGTATTATTCTGGTCCATTAGTTCACTTGCAAATCTCAGCCTCCAAAAAGTTCCAAATTCCTATATTTTCGCTCTTGACACAAGTCCTTAATAATCCTCCATTCGTTGCCTTAGTTTTCGCTGACACTCAGTTTTTGATTTGAAGAGAAGATATTCTTTCACCAAGTTGATCCAACTCAGTACTAGACGTGATAGAAAGGTCGCTTCATCACTTTTTTCTCGTTTATAGTTGGTCAATACCTGTTTTTTTCTTTCACAATTTATAACTCGCTTTTTAGATTTTGTGACTGCAAAAATTCCAAAATCCAGCAACTTTTTTTCTTATTTAT